AATACTTTTGCAACAACGCCAACCACAAATAAAGTAAACGTTGATTTACTTAACTACGAAAAATTAATAAATTACTTAACATTAAGAGCTGTTTCAATCAGGTCCATTGTGAAAGAGGGTCTCGAAAATATTTTGCACTTTTCTGTTATACTCCCGTTTAATCTTTGGATGTATTTTAGACGTGTTTCAATTTATATATCTTTCGATTCGTCAAATGGATCCCAGTTGAATGGTATCATTCTCTTTGATAGGTAATACCTGTAAACCGATATATAGGTCTCCGAAAATTGAAAAACCATAGGGGGAAGTAAGCTGTTATTTGGGGTGAAAAATCTGTTATAAAATGCTAGCTCATTCGAAAGAGTTCGTTGACTAAAATAGGATCGACTTCAATAACTTTTAAATAATGTTAATTAATTCATTAATTTTATATTTTATGTAAATGAACGTTCAATTTATTTGACCATCTCTTTGGCCAGCATATATTTATTTTTGAAAGCCGAACTCTAGTTTTGGCTAAATTGTGGTACTTTAATTATTTTTAAATCTCTCTTTAGGAAGAGAGTAAGAAAATGATCTTGACAAAGATCGGTAAAAATTGTTTTATAAAATAAAGCTTTCAAAAACAGATAAAGAAAGGCAATTCATAAACGTTTTAGTATAAAAGTTAGCCAAAGCTCGAGTTTGGCTCCCAAAAATATACAAACTCTGGCAAAATTGTATGCAAAAAAATGGAACAACGATACATATAAATAGTAAATTAAAAAAATTAATTAACATTATTTACTGGACAAATCATCGTCCAGACAGCTACTAATCGTTTTTCTAACGATTTATTTAATTTTACATTTTTATCACCGCGTGAGACAAAAGGTGACATCCTGTGGACATTATTAATTTAAAGTAGTGATTTATTGTTTCATAACAAATTTTAAAAAATTTCTTTACTTTTCTATATCGTCGTTCCCTTTATTGTTTTAAACCTTCATCTCGATCCAATCCTAAATTTTTCCTAGAATCCTGTTTTGATTTTCCCGATAATACATAAAAACTATTCTTTTTGAATTAAACTGAATAAAAATTAAATTTAAAATTCGACCAAATTTCCTCCCAATTTTTATTCGCGCTTAACTCATATTTTTACATAATTTAAAAAAATTTTTTTTTCAGTTATTTTCTAATTATTTTATTGCTTTATGCAACATGGTCTGGGGAGAAGGAGACAGTTTTGATAGTTTTGCAAACGATGCTTTTGCAACAGGTGGATTTGGTAATTCTGGTGGTGGAGGTGGAAACAAAACCAAAAATAGTGGGTTTTAGTTTTGTTGTTAAAATACTTTTAATTGCTTAATAGAACCTTTTTTGTTTATTTTTTAATTAGTCTTGTTGAGGGAGATTTTAATAGATTTCACAAACATGCTTCTATTGCCTTATTAATATAGTTTTTTCTATTTTTGTATTTATTTATGGTGATTTTTGCTTATAACCGTAAGTGCTCCAGTCTTTATTGATTTTTTATTTTTGTGAGCCAATCCTAGAATTGGCTAAATTCGTGGGAAGATTTGTGGAATAAATATCCGTACGATTTTAGTTAACTTGAATCATTTTTTATGGTTAATTTAGGTTAATCATTCTTACTCAATAACTCTGTGCGTTTACTTTTCAATGGGTCTTGTAAGGGAGGTTCTAATAGGCTTCACAACTAGGTAAGCTTCTGTTGTCAGTTTAATATTATCTTTCTTATATTTGTATTTATTTATATGGTTTTCGCTTACTTCCTTAAAGTTTTCGTCGTCGGTAAATGCTTTATTTTTGGGAGCCAATCTTGAATTGGCTGAATTCGTGGAAAGATTTGTGGAAGAAATATCTGGATTAACTCGAATCATTTCTCTGCTTAATTTAGGGTAGCCATTTTTTCAATTTTATTTCTGGGGCTTTTTTACAATGTCTAATATTTCCTCCATTATTCTTAAATTTTTTTTACAGTGCCGGAAAAAAAGATAGGACCAGAGGCTGTTAATTTAGTTTTTATCGATTATCTCTTTTCAATTAACTTTTAGAAAAAAAGTTTCAACGCTAAAATTGTAGATCTTTAAATGCTCTTTAAAATGAGTATAAATATCAAGATAATTTACCGACAAAATTTTTTCCAAAAAAATTTAAACGATACTACTCAATTTTTGTGGTGGAAAAAAAGATAGGACCAAGATAATTAAAATTAAAAATAACGACTTTTGTTCGGTCAAAAATTCTATAAAAATTTTTATAAACATTTCCATCGATACCAAGTATAAAATTAAAAAGAACGAAGTCAGTAACTTATTTCTTCATCGAGATCTCAAATCTCAAAAATCAACGGAAAATAGGGGTACAGTACTTCAAAAAATATTTAAACCCCCTGGAGCTTATATTAAAAATTTTATTTTATGCCTATCTGAAAGCCCATAAAATTTACCACAAAATAGTCGAAGTTTTTATTTTTCCAATAAAAACTCATGGAGATAGAGGTAAGGCAATTTTTTAAGTTATCATTTCTGGGGTATTTTGGGAGATTTTGAGAATTTTTAATGTAAAGTGGACTAGAGTTAACCAGGTATTTTTTTAGAAAAATTAAATTCCGGACTATTTTGTGGTAAATTTTATGGGCTTTCAGATAGGCATAAAATAAAATTTTTAATATAAGCTCCAGGGGGTTTAAATATTTTTTGAAGTACTGTACCCCTATTTTCCGTTGATTTTTGAGATTTGAGATCTCGATGAAGAAATAAGTTACTGACTTCGTTCTTTTTAATTTTATACTTGGTATCGATGGAAATGTTTATAAAAATTTTTATAGAATTTTTGACCGAACAAAAGTCGTTATTTTTAATTTTAATTATCTTGGTCCTATCTTTTTTTCCACCACAAAAATTGAGTAGTATCGTTTAAATTTTTTTGGAAAAAATTTTGTCGGTAAATTATCTTGATATTTATACTCATTTTAAAGAGCATTTAAAGATCTACAATTTTAGCGTTGAAACTTTTTTTCTAAAAGTTAATTGAAAAGAGATAATCGATAAAAACTAAATTAACAGCCTCTGGTCCTATCTTTTTTTCCGGCACTGTACGATTTCGTAATTTTTCTCTTTTCTATTTATGCCAAAACAGACTTGCTAAATTAGAATTGTTTACAAAATATTTTTATATAAAGTTAAAGGAGCGTGTGGTCTCTTTCTCTTTAAATTTGTTTTGCCATTCTCAGTGCCTTGTAAGCTTTGGTCATTTAAATGTTGCCAACCGTCTTTTTTTGAATAAATCTTGGATGAATTGAGGGGGTCGGGATTAAATAGGGGGATTAAAAATATTTTTTTTGATTATATTTATTTGAATATTTTTAGTTGGAGATCATCGCCTTTTGTTCCTTTTATATCACCTTAAGTTACTCTGGTTATGTTTATGTCTGGTCCTCGTCCCTGTATACCCTCGTCTTTTTAGTAAAATCCCGACAGACCCTCGCCTCGAGCTTTTTGATAGAAGATTCGGGGTCCACCCTTAGTTAAAGTTTCTCTTAACTTTGAGATAGTACAAAAATAGTCGGTTTATTAGAATGGACGTTCAAATATGGATTGGATTTTCAGCTGGAGAGACCATTCAATTAATTTATTTATAGTAGTGTTCGGCAAATGATATTTTCGGTAACAGTAATAACGAAAATTACCATAGTATGTATTACCAAACTGTGCGGAACACTATTTTATAGTTGATCATTAGCCCAAGATCTTATAAAAATATGTTTCTTTCAAAATTTTATTTAATATTACAATATTTATTAACCTAAGTTTTTAGGTTTACACATATTTGACGTTATATTTTGTTTTTTCGAATAAGTTTTCAGTTTTTATTTTTGTGAGCCAAATTGATTAACTTTGGCTAAATTTGCTACTTAAATAGTATAATTTTGACAACTTCTGATTTTTGAAGCCGCTCTATGAAAATATCAAAGATTTCTATGCATAACTCAGCTGAAGCCTCTTTAAGTTAAATAAAATTTCTGTAAATGTGGAAACCTCACATCCAACACATTTTTATTCGTGATCATTCAAACTAAATATTTACACTAAACTTTGCGCGACACCCACTGTCCAACGCATCTGTCCAAAACTTTACGAAAGCTCTATGGGAAAATATGTGCTTGCCATTTTCCTCTTCCTTTAGGTTTTCTTTTTTATATTTGATGCTCCATATATACACTAAATATTCTTATAATGCCACAATACATTAATAAATTTTTTGTTTTTTATTACCTTTTATTTTACTGCAAACTTTTGTTTTATCAATTTCAAATGATTAATATAAGATTTTTCAAATTTAACCTTTTATAAGTATATCAGATATTTCTTCTTTACTCTTCGGGAAATACGTCGTCATCTTATTTTTTGGCAGCCAAACTTTAGCTTTGGTTAAATTCATACCAAATCTTCATAAAAGTTTTCATCTTCAATTTTAAGCTAAATTTTTCTTTACGATTATTCTGCTTCATTATTTGATACGAATACTTTCATAACGTGAATGAGATCTAAAGTTTTGGACACGAATATGATTTTTATAAATCTTATTTTGTAGCTTTTATTTGAAAAATTTTCCTTAGACTCTTACGCTAACTTCATTTTTGCTGATCCTAACCTTAATATACACAATATGATTATTTAATTTAACCTTTTATATTTATATATCTAACATTTCATTGTTAATCTACTTATTTTTTTACACTTTGACAATTTTTTGGGAGCCAAACTTTAGCTTTGGTTAAATTTGTCATTTTTAAAAAAATTCCACCAAAATAAAACCGGTATTCCACAGTTTTACATGCCTAACTATCCGTGCTTTATTAATAACAGTCCTAAATTTAATTTATAAAATTTTTTAATCCCGTTTTGTTATTTTCCCTTCTTGCGATTATATGGCCCACGAATGCATTCCCCCTTTTTCCTTTCTAACACAAAAACTCAATAGCCAGTGGCCGGCAGAGTGGGGGAGTTAAAAGAGTGCTTGCGAGCTTTTTGCGCGTCCTATTCTTCCTTTTTAACTATTTTTCATTTGTTTGAGGGTGGTGGCCATTTCTCAGACCTTTTCCCTCTCTCTTATTTTTCCCAGTTTTCCTCGCATCGATCCCAAGCTTTTTTGCAAACATTTGACTTCACAATTCTTTTTGTTTGGGTCGCCGTGACTTTATTTTTATTTAAATTCCATTAAGAAATGTCCTAAACAAAAATTTTTTTATGAATTTTTGATTTTTTTTTATACAAGACCCATATTATTCGATTCGTCAGCTGAGTTGAACGTTACCACTCTTTTTTTTCGGAGATGCCCATGAACCGAGATATAGGTCCCCGAAAATAGAAAAAACATAGGGGAGAGTAAGCACATACCACATACAGACACATGAAATCAGTGTTAATTTTGTTTAATTGCGAGCCAACGCTTCTTTCTTCGATTATTAATATAACTTTTCTCATATTTGATCTCTTTATATGTATATGTATATGATTTATTTATAATGTTTTTTATTTAATACTTCTTATTTTTGCGAGCCAATCTTAGAATTAGGCTAAATTAGATAATCTTATACTTTCATTATTAAACACGCTAAAAATTACAAGTTTAATTTTGCTAACTTAGATAGCGTAAATAAATAATTCAAGTAAATTTCAAATGTCTTCAGTAGGTTGACTCAGAATTTTGAAATTGTTAACCAACCGTAATTTACTTAATATAAGTTTTTTCATACTTCATATTTTTATATCTAGTATATTGTGGGTTCTGCCATCTTGAAAACTGCTGTCACATCTTTTTTATTTTTGCGAGCCAATCTTAGATTTGGCTATTTTAAACCTTTGAATTACTTTTAAACGTTTCTAACTTTTTTCTTATTTTAGAAAGCGGCGGTTTCGGTTCTTCAAAAAACGTCAGCTTTAGTGCTGGAAATAAAGGAGGTTCTTCTGGTAACAACTCAAATTCACGCCCAGGTGGCGGATTCACTAGCAGTCTGAATATTGGTAGCAGCAGTGGTGGTGGAGGCAGTTGGAAGCCTAAAATTAAGGATTGGGAACCTGTTGGCAATTTGTGGGTTTTTTTTAATTTTTTTATGGTAAGGTAATACCGAGTTTCGTAACCTCATTCTATTTTTCTTTTTACCAATATTTTACTGTTCCCTATGGAATCCGAGACGAAATTCGGTATTACTAACGTCAAATACTTTGAGTTCTGATATCTTAAATTACTTTGAGACATTTTTATACTGTTTTATTCGAAAAATACCAAAGTAATGCCAAGAAAAGGTCAACGAAATGTGCCCTGTTTTTAAAAATTTTTCAACGTCTGAATGAATTTTTCAATATAACCTATTATGCTTTTAAGGGCAAAGTGTCTCATAATTTTTAATTGTATTCTGGATTTTCTGCTCCAGATTTCTTTACTAACTATGAAGAATACCTCGTTTGGTTTTAGGTCTAAGAAAATCTTTCATAAAAATAATATTCCGAGGCGACACTAGAATAAACCACTAACTTTTATGGGATTAGGCCATCCAATTTTGACTTTATTTTACATTTATTATTTTTTTATACAAAAAATTTTTTAATAAATAAGAATAGGCTATTTTTAAATTGAGTTTCGTCTATTAGTTTGTGAAATTTTAAATATTTTTTGAAGCGTTTTTTATCTGCATAATATAACTTTTTTATATCTTGTCTTTTTATATACATACAATATATGGGTGTTGCGGTCATTGATGGTTTATTGGAATTTTATTTTTGCAAGCCAATCTCAGAACTGGCTAAATTTGACATTTTGACAAAAAGACAATACAGATTACCTAACAAGAAATTAGCTAAGTTTTTAAAATTCCAATGGTCAACACTTTTAAAGGTTTTACCATGTATTTTTTAACACTGTATTTTAAACATAATTTTACATTTAAAACATTTTAGAAGCTTTCGCTATTTTTGGCTAATTCGTCAACTTGAATTTTTTCTTTGAATGCTTGCCAAAAATTTTTTCTCCCACATATCTTCTAGATATAAACTTGCTTAATTATTAAACACGTTATTTATTAAATAAATGAGCGATGCGCTTTATTTGTTCATCTTGCCTCAACTTTTTTTACCTTACTTTAGTTTAAGGGTTTGGCAAGTTTTTCTCTAATTTTTTGTAAATTTTTATTTTTGTTTTTTAATTGATTTAAAATATTTTCTAATTAGTTTTTGAATTTTATTATTTTTATTTTCCAATTTTCCTCTTCAATTAACTCTAAATCAAGTTGATATGTATGGGTTGAGAAAAATTTGTGTCGTTGGGGATTTAAAAAATTTCTTTTGGGTCGCGTCTTGTGTCGAAAAAATATCCGTGGTTTAAATTCAGATCGGAGTCAGTGATGGGCGCATTCACGTATTTTTGTTAAGTTTTGGCTTTTTGTCATTATTTTGAAAACTTTTGTTGCTTAATTCTTATAGAAGCTTGTTAACCGACTTCTTCATCTAATTCAATTTTTGAGCTCTTTTGAATGGCATATCTAACACAAAACATTCTATAAATCAAGGTATTCTATTCAAAGATATAAATTATTTCATTGTTTCCTCTATTTATGGATTTGCTGGGTGGATCACTTTATTAAAATACAATTGCTGATTTTTCATTTTTTGGAAGCTAAACTTAAATTTGGCTAAAGTGTATTGGAGCGTTATAAATATCTTTTGATTTCAGTTGTCTAAGACTGGTTATTCATTGTAATTCTTATTCATTTTCTTTGATTGTTGTGGCGATCTCCATGTTTTTTTATTAATTTCTGGCAGTGATTTACACAACTAAATTCTCAAAAATATCAGTTATTTCCTTTATTTTTCTATTTATACATAATATTGTCGATCACTTCTTAGTGGAAGTGTTCTTCATTTGTGTACAATAAATATTGTTATTTTTTGGAAGCCAAATTTTAAAGTTGGCTAAAAATTTAGACTATGAGTTATTTTTATTTCTCTCTACTCTGAATATTTCAAGTTTTAAGTATTTCAAGTTGTTTTCCTTTATGAAAAACGTTTATTATTTCTTTGGTTTGTTATCATAGTAAGAGCGAGGTAAAAGTTAAATCCCGGTCAGGTTCGATCCTGCGACCTCCTGGCAGTTATAACCCCCGCCTAGTGAGCGTTTTAAATGCTAGCCAGCTGGATCTTTCTCTCACTTACTTCATAATTGTTATAATAATCGTGACCGAAATTCAATAAAATTGATTATCTACATTCCTGATAAAACAGAGTTTTTCTAAATTATTAGTTAGTTGCGCGCCCTTCAATTATGAATTTTAAAGAGGAAGTTTTGGGATAATCATTTTGTTCTTTTTTATCAGACTCTCCTTTATGGGAAGAATATTAGAAAGATTTTTGAGGAAAGGAAAATTAAGTGTGTATCATTTTTTGGGAGCTAAACTTGATTTTGGCTAAAATTTAGACTTAATGAGTTATTGTTTATTTATCTCTATGCTGAATATTTCAAGTTTTAAACTATTTCAAGTTGTTTTTATTTGTGAAAAACTTTAAATATTTTTGTTTTGCTATCATAATTGTTATAATAATCGTGACCGAAATTTAAAATAATTTATTTTAATTACAATTTTCTTGACAATCTGTCATTTTTTTTCATTTTTCCATGTTTTTTTTTCTTTACTTGACAACATTGACTGATCATAATTTTTCTTTTATTTATTTTTAAGTTGAGAGAAGTCGCGTGTTTGATTTTATTTATTATTAGTTAGTTGCGCGCCCTTCAATTATGAATTTTAAGGGGGAAGTTTGGGGGGTAATCATTTTGTTCTTTTTTTTACCACTCTCTCCTTTTTGGGAAGAATATTAAAAAGAATTTTTTGAGGAAAGGAAAATTAAGGGGAAAATGTCTAGGATGAAAAATAAAAAATATTTTAACGAGTCCCCTTTACAATTAAAAAACCAGTCTTTTTTCTGTCTATTGTATTTTTTCTTTTTTCAAGTTTGTTAAGTGAAAATTGAAAAAAATAAAAATTTTTTCAGAAGGTAGACATTCTAAGACCAATTTTAAAATTATGGCATTAATTTGAAATTTTTTTCTAAAGTATGATTCGATTTTATTGATGGTGTTTCACTAATGTTTCATGTTTGGACCCTGATCATGGGTGGCCGCATTGCGTTTTTTGAGATTGTCTCTCTCGCCTACTTCTGCTGATTTTGCTATTAATTTATATAGTGAAAATTTTTTTATACTCTAGGAAATGTTCAAGACTCAAAATTCATGATTCAAAACCTGGACTTGATCCAAAATCTACGACAAGTACTCAAAACTAATTTTTCGATCATACATATAGTGCAAATTTTTACCTGTTCGCATTATTTTGGCGCGAATACATATAACTTTATATGAGCTTTTCTAAATCTTAAAATTAGCTAATATGTCAGGAATTTTAACAAACCTAAATTTTTGCCAAAGCATTGCTTTAGCATACAAAAATACACAACTCAGATGGCAGAGGCATTTTTTAATTATCTAACTTATCTAATCCTGTTTAAATTAATCTTAAATAAAATATATTCTAAGGAGTAATAACTTTAAAGTAGAATGTCATTTTACAATATAAGATGCTTCTTAGAAATGAAAATTAATAATTAAATGATGGATTAATTGAAATTTTCATCTACTTAAATAACTTGGAAATTTTCCATATTTTATTTATTTTTAAGAAAAAACAGCATAAAATTTTTGCTTAAATCCTTATTTCCTTTTTTAATCCTTTTTTGCGGTTTTTACTGGATTTTTCCATAAAAACTGGTTTGTTGCAAAACATGGGGGATTTTAAAAACATTTTTTGGGTGTTTGATTGCATGGATGTAAATTCCATTCATGACAGCGCACTTCTCTCTTATACGACGACGTTTATTTGCGAGTGTCTTCTTTCCTCTCTCTCTCCCTCCACTTCTCCCCCTATTTAGTGTCAGCTGAACTTCGATTAAAATCCATGACGTTTTTTTCTCTATTTCTCTTAATTTTTAATATTTAAAGTCTCAGAATTTTCTTATTTTTAAATGTTTTTATGAGTTAAAGTTCCATTAGGCCCGTTGAAAACCTCTGCTAAATTCAGCCTCAATTATTTAAAATGTAAGTTTGTTGTAATATTCTCTCCATGTTAAATTTTATTTATTTTGTTCTTCATAATTTTATTTTGTATTTTAATTTTTCAAGCGTAGCAAAGTGTCGTTCCTTTTTATTTTTTGGAAGCTGATATTATCAGCTATAATCTCGAATTAAAATGTTTATTGTCAATTGTTAAACGATTTCTTGAAAAATCTCCCGTCTCCATAGTGTGTATCGAAGTTCCACTTCTTATTGTTAATTTCAAAATTTTTAACTTAATTAGACTGTTTATTTTAATGAGTTTAAAAAATATTTTTGCATCTGCTTTGTTGTATTTTTGAAAGTTTTACCATTTATTTTCTAAAAATCCTTTTTATAAAATTCTCAAAATATCA